CAACTTTGCTGTCAAATCTCTGCCAAGTGTCACCTCTTAGTCTTACACTGGCCGGGTACAGGGCTTCAAGATAATTCTCAACACGGCTCTAAGTCAGCCTGGGCTACATGAGCCCTGTCTCAAGGAAACCATCAAATGTCATCATTGGGACAACCCTATTCTTTTGCTTTATTTTCTTTTACATGTGTTTATTTATTTCTTTCTTTTTTTGTTTTTGTTTTTTTTGTTTTTCGTTTTTTCGAGGCAGGGTTTCTCTGGCTTTGGAGGCTGTCCTGGCACTCGCTCTGTAGACCAGGCTGGTTTCGAACTCACAGATATCTGCCTGCCTCTGCCTCTGCCTCCTAGTACTGGGAATAAAGGCGTGTGTCACCACTGCCTGGCTTGATTTTATTTTTTACATTTATATTTTTAGTGTGTGTGTGTGTGTGTGTGTGTGTGTGTACACATGCCACAGCACTTGTGTGGAGGTCAGAGGAGAACTTGAGGAAGTCAGTTCTCTCCTTCCTCCATGTGGGTTCTGGAGATCAAACTTAGGAAGTAGTGTTTGGCTGCAAGCACCTTTGCCCACTGGGCCACCTTGCCAGCCCTAGATTGTTTTTTGTTTTTGTTTTTTGTTTGGTTTGGTTTTTTTGAGATAAGAGTCTACTCCCAGAATCATTTTAAACAGTGCATCCTTCTGCCTCAGCTTCCTAGGTAGTAGGATTACAGTAGTCAAGCTGGCTAAGTTTCTTTTTGGCCTTTGTCCTCTCCCCTGACCAAGAATAAGAAAAAACATGTCAACTATGGAGAGTTGTTATGCTTGTACACAGCCTATCCATAATAGATACTCAACTGATGTAAGTTAAAAAACAAAACAGCTCCCATGAGCTGTTTAGTGTGTGACCTGTGAGCCACTTGAGCTATTAGCAGGCTCTAGGCTGCTTTGCTTGACACTTCAGAGTTATAACGCACAAGCTGACATTGAACTCCTGATTCTCTTGGCCTCTGTATTCTTCATGTTGGATGATAATGGTGTGCCACCATGCCCAGCAATTTCTGAGACTCCTTTTGTCCAGGCCATAAAAATGAATCTTTCATGTATATGTGTTTTGACTGAATGAATGTCTGTGCATCATATGTGTGCCTGGGGCCTAGGCACCAAAGAGGATCCCAGACCCCCTGGAACTAGAGTGAAGGACAGCTGTGAGCTGCTACGTGAGTGCTAGGAACTGAACCTGGTCCTCTTTGAGAGCAAGTGCTTCTAATAATTTATTTATTTTTATTTTATGTGCATTGTTGCATTGCTTCCATGTACGTCTGTGCGAGGGTGTCAGATCCCCTGCAGCTGGAGGAACAGACAGTTGTGAGCTGGATGCTGGAAATTGAACCCAGTCTCCAGGAAGAGCAGCCAGTGCTCTTAACCTCTGAGCCGTCTCTCCAGCCCTGAGCAAGTGCTTTTAACCAATAAGCACCTAAACATTCTACTCTACTCTTAGTAAATCATCAGGCTTTTTTTTTTTTTTTCTTCAGTGCTGTAATCAAACACAGGTGTTTAACATGACGGAATGCTAGGCAAGCACTCTTTCGCTAAACTGCATCTCCCCTGGCATCTTTAAGACTAGTTAAAGGCCAGCTGTGGAGCTTAGGGCTTTAATCCCAGCACTCTGAGGCAGAGGCAAGTGAATCTCTGTGAGCTCGAGGCCAGCCTGGTGTACAGAGGGAGTTCCAGGACAGCCAGGGCTACTCAGAGAAACCCTGTCTCAAAAAAATAAAATAAAAAAAAAAATCCCCTAATTCCAGTTACTTGAGGGGCTGAGGAAAGATGATTGCTTTGTATTCCAGGCTAAGTTGAGCAACTTGGTGAAACTGTCTCAGAAAAATACAAAACAAACAAACAAAAAATTTCGCCCTTTCTTCTTTTGAGACAGGATCTCACTCTGAAGCCCAGGCTGGCCTGGAACTCAGTCTGGCTTCAAACTCCCAGCAATGCCCCTGCTTCAGTCTTCCCACGCTGGGATTATGGTTTGTGAACAACCACACTCCGAAAGGAAACAGATTTTGAGGGCTTTAGCCTGTTGTCCAAAGTCACGCCGCTACTCCGGAGGCACTGATGTCCAGGATGTGACCCTCATGCCATTATTCCATGTCCACCTTACTCCCGTCTTTAATTAGAGCGGAGCCCGGCTGGAGACAACACTCTTAACACGGTAGCTCTCAAGAGGAAGGTCGATTTAATAAACCGCGTCCCTCTCCCAGAACTCATCCCTCTCTCCAAGCTCACAAAGTGATCC